GATCATGAATGAGATGTGGATGATTTCATGTGAGGTAGAGGTCGTACACATACAAGATCAGAAGGAGGATGTCACCTTTGTTTAGTAAAAAGATAGAGGTTTGGATCAGCTTGACTTTGTTAAAGCAACATCGATGCGATGATACGATGCTCGTGAACACTGACAAAGTGTGAGCACAAAACTGTGCTCACATGTCTTTTTACCCTTATGAGAGTTAAAAGTTTGGATTTAAGCTCTTGCAAAATTATGCTTGGGGTTTTCTGAAAGTTCTGCAAGATTAGGAGTTGATGTGATGGTTAAGGGGCAAGAGGTGCGGAAGTAGGCCTTCGGTGCAAGGTCTTCGGTGAAGTGCCTTCGGGGAAGTCCCTTCGGGAAAATGCCTTTGGCGAAGGAGTGAAACTCTCATAACGTTTTCAATGTGTGACACCTTGACTCAGTTAGGGTCTTGTTGGAAAGAGCTCGCGACGCTCCTTCCAACAAGACCAAGAACTCTTGAAACGGATGAGGCATCACCGAGTTAGGAGCGGCGGAAGTTTCTGATATGGAGGGCCTTCGGCGGGATGCGCGTAGGCGGCCTACGCGTAGGCGGGTTGCGCGTAGACGGCCTGTGCATAGGCAAACGCCTTCGGCGGAAGGGTAAAACCGTGATAAAGTTTTCAATTCTTAACGGTTTGCGTTGGTTAGGGTCTCGTTGGAAAGGGCTCGACAAGCTTGTTCTAACGAGCCCAATAACGCTTGGAACGGATGAGGACTGAGTGAGTTATGACTATCGGAAGATACGTAGACGTTCGCCTTCGGCGGAAGGAGTTCATGACGTTGTTGTGCGTGGTGGAGTTATGGCATTGAAGTGTTGCAACGTTGATAAATTATCCCTCATGATGTTGTAAAATCAATGGAACACCAGCTGAAGTTTTGTGAAGACTAGCAATACTTTGTTTGGTTTGCTCATGTTGTGGCGCTGATCGTTCATGAGTATTTGGAAACTGCAGTGATGTTGTTGTAGGTAAGTGAATGGTTGGGGCTGCAGTATGACTAATTGATGTTGTAATTGACGAAATAAGCAAGAAGATTGGGTGAAAGACAACTCAAGTTGTGAAGATTCAAATATTTGGACATCAAGAAAAACAATGACATTTCAAGTCCAATGCTCATAGCAATGGTAGCTTTTTGCATGACTGAGAAAGCTAAGTAACATACACTTAGTTGAGTGTGAATCAACCTTTTCTTTGGTAGGACGATGTTGGTGAACAAGGATTCTGTTTCTAAAAACCCAAAGAGGACAGTTAGACGGTTTTATGTTTGAACATACAAACGTTAAAAATTTCACAAGCTGTAAGTACCACTTTAGTTCAAAGATGATTGGGTACATTTTTGTCAAGCAAAAAACAACGCGTAATGTCCAACAAAGAGCGACTGACTCTTTCAACAACGCCATTTTTATGAAGAGTATAAGAGATTATCAATTCATATTTGACGTCATGATCACAACATTATGCTTCAAATATCCAAGAAATAAACCCAGCCGAAACTAAACGAAAGCGTGTCACGGGTTAGAAATCTGTGCTATCACAAATGCGATGGACTAATGACATTCTCCAAGGTTCATGGTCACTAAAACCAGTTATTCTACATCTGCAGCACTCTCCAAGCAATCTTTGCTACAATTATGCTACAATGTGCAGATGGCTGTAAATCTTGGTCATCACGAATGAGTTCGAAGCACCAGGTGACCGAGTTCTCTGCCCGTAGTATGGATCGCACAGGTTAGGAGTACATCTCTGGCCTTTTTTTAATAACTGAGTGCCGGATTAAAGTATAATAAGTTTTTACTATAGCCCACCTTCAAATATCAAGTCGTTGTAGTATAGTGGTAAGTATTCCCGCCTGTCACGCGGGTGACCCGGGTTCGATCCCCGGCAGCGGCGCTTTTTGCTGTCGGGTCAGGTTTCATTCGAATGATCGGCAGTCTAATGACCAAGTCTTTTTGTACTTTGTTGTTTAGTCCAGAGGTACCCTCATAAATCCCAAGATATGAGTCAAGATGAAGTTTGTTGAGACTTAACTCATGTGTAATTGTTTAGCAATAATTACTTTGACTATGTTTAGTTAGATTAGTACAGCTACTACTATATAGAAGAGAAAGTGAAGAGCTCTATGTGACACATTTCATGTTTTCAATATAATAACATTGTATTTTCTTTTGCGTATCTCACTGAAGTGAATCATGGATTTATGCGTAAACCATAAAATCTCTATCACTTTGTATTTGAATAAAATGACTCACTTCTACATACATGGATGGATATTTTTCTTGAAAAAGTATGTTAAAGTGGTGCAAGCTATGCACCATATTGCCTATGAAAAAACAATAAATTTGAAGAGCTCCTCCAACTCAAGTAAATAAAATCTCGACTGAATAGCACATAAAAAATTGTTAAAAAAACCACATGCAAGGACAACAACGTCTCTCAGCCTTAGATGCTATTGTTAAGATCAGTAGGCAAAGATTTGGCAAAAACTTTGGTAGACGCAAGTATAGCTTGGTTGACCTTATTTTGATCAGGCAACCCCTTCATCTGTCTAGCATTGATATGGGGTCTGCTCTTATTAAAAGCTCGAATTTTATCGGAAAAGATCTAATTTGGGATCCTCTTGATACATTTATTCCTAGGAACATTATTGTGAGAGACATTGTTGTCCTTATCCTTAGTGACCCCAATATTGCGTCTTCTCGCACTAAGGGAGGTGTTGGCGGAGCTACGTTCATTGAAGCCTACTCAGGTTCTTGATATTTGGGCCGAAAAAAAGCTTCTTCTTCTTTTCTGTGTGCAAGGTGAGGCCAGTGCTAAGCGGAGAAAGGAGTATTTTACCATACATATAATTTCCATAGTTTTTGAGTTCGAAAGGAATTGGTGTTAATCCTTTCAGATCTAGCACTGACTGGAAGCCGAGAGACCATCAAGTGACTGGTAATTTCACTAAAGAGACAAATTGCTGGTATAGAGAGTGTGTCCACCACATTTCTCTTGTTGAGCATCTGAACAAGAAATGGCACTCTGAAAAGTCTGAAGACGATCAGTGTAAGTGTAAGTTTGCTACTCTTCGGTCGTGCTGGAATGTGAATCGAGACAAAATTATCATGTGGCGTGTTCTTCATCATGGTATATACACAAATAAAAAAACCTCCTGTATAGGTCCAGAGGTCCAGGGTCTTTGCCCTAGGGGATGTAACGAACTGGATCTGTTGCTCATACTTTGTTTGACTGTCTTTACGCTCGTAGTAACTGGGATGTTGTGGCCAAGTTGCGTTGGGTCAGTGCTAGCCACAAGAATATTTTTCAGCAAGGAAATAATTTATTGCATCTTTTGAAGAAATCAAGCGATGTTCAAGCGGAGCTGAGTGGAGGCTGATGACGGAAATATGTAGACATCTTTGGATTGGTAAGAATCAGGTTGTTTATTTTAGTCTTGATGTTAACCTCAACATTCATGCTAGAGTCCGCAACACTGTTGATAAGGCTATCACTCTTTGGAAAGAGTCAAACATTTGTAGTCCTCACAAGAAGCTGTTGGTCATTGTTCAAATGCTCCAAAACTCATTAGTTAGTTAGCTTACGACTAGAATTGAGAGATGTCTCAACAAACGTTTAGAATGTTACTTTAATCTGGTAGAATGGAAGCTGTCCACACGACCGGGGCAGCGTTCGAAATTGATATTTTTTTGCCTTCTGCTAGAAGGGTTGTAGATTCGCCCCGCTTCTACCTTTATCTTCAAGGTTCCACGTTACGCCTGGTTGTTCTACAGTTTTTCTTGAAGGTGCATCTCTCCAACAGGTGGTTTCAGCTAAGGATCGGCTTGTGATTTCGGGCTGACATGTGAGAATGTCGGTTTTGAACTTATCTTTGTTGGAATTCTTCCCCTTTGGGGCTTTGTTAGGGCCCTCTCACAGCTTTTCTCAGTCCACTCCGTTTCCTTTCTCTTTTTCGCTTGGCTATGTGGGTGCTCTCTCTGGACTTGGGTACGTGAGCCACTGCTTTGTGGATTTTGTGTGTTTGGACTTCCAGGTTGTTTCGCGGTTCGGGCTCGATGGACTACTGGCCAGTGGTGTTGGTTTTTACGTGTTTTTTTAGTTCTTCTAGGATGGGGGTTGGCTTCGGCAAGGGCGTTTGGTGCTCTTTGGTCTGGTATCTTTTTCTCGGTTACTCTTGCTTGGTAGGCACTGGTTTGTCTGGCGATGGATTCCTTCTGTTTCGTATTAGCGTTGTTGCGCCGTATATTGGATTCATATTGCAGTTTCTGCAGGTTTTCATCAAGAAACAAAAGAGAAGCTTACTAGGACCATTCTGGTGGCCAAGCATGCAGCGGATGGGAAGAGGAGCGGCCACTACATTTCCTAGCGATATTTGGGCCGAAGTCCAGGAACGTATAAATGAGCTGTATCCTAATACTAAGAGAGACTCAACCTGAGTAGCGATTGAGCGTCCCTCAACGATCAGTCACGATTCTTTACTCCTCTAAATCTGCTCTAATCTAAAAGAATATCCAATTGTAACTTCCAAGTCAGCCACTGAATGGTGTTCAAGTACCACTGAATGGTGTTTAAGATAACATTTTTCAATAACCAAAGCTTTGGCGATCTAACTTATTCACGGCATCTCTTTCAGAGGCCACCCTCAGCGGTTGAGCCAAGATTTCCTTTCTTCAACATGCAAACGGCAAATTCTTCGAAGAACGGTGGACCTGCGCTTTGAGATTAACCTCCTTGCTCACAGGGTCGGTGTTCAAACAGTGATACAGATTCTCTCACAGAGCGCACTAGCACTCGAGTACATGCTGCTGACCCTGGTACCTCACGAGGACAGGGCATCTGCTTTGGAGCTTATTCTGAGCAAAAAATAAGAATAGATCCAAAGATAACATGTGAACAATGAATGCAATACGGATACCCCGCCTGCTAAACTCAGTGATGTCTGAATTCCTGCACTGCTGAGCGCTTTTTCTAGTTTACGAACTGGCAGGTCCTGCGGATTTCACCTTGGGTCCCCGTGAGAACCCCAAGATTTCCCATCTTCACCATTGCAGCAGCAAACTCTTCAAAAAAGCTCGAGCTGCGCTGGGAGAATAACCGAGCAACTTTCTTGCCTGCAGAGTTAGTGATGAGAGCAGAGTCAGTGATGAAGACTCCTCTGCCACCGAGCACATTTTGGTAGTAGACGCGGTCAAAAATATTCACAGTTGAGTCCATATGGACGGTGTTGGTCCTGTTCCCTGGAGGACAGACCTTCTTCAGGGAGACAGAAAACGCTTTGTTCAAGGAAGGGTCTGTGTCCGTAACAACATCCTTTCCTGTGAAATTGTACAGATGTGGGAGGATCCCATTGCAATGAGACTGACCAACTGTGTGTGCACCTGTTCGAATTCTCAACCAATAAACATTGTGAAATTTTAGAACCTTGAGTAAAAAATTAGTATGTGCGAACTTCAATCTTCGATTCCAATCTTCTCTGTGCGATTTTCACTTTGGAGGGAGTTGGTAACTGCATCTCGCTTAATTATCTTATTGAGCCCAAAGAGGTCCAAGTCGAGTCCAAGTCTGAAATCAAATGTATCAAAGAAAGTGATGAATCAAGCATGATCATTCACATTTTCAGATCTCACAGTACGTATCCCAAGGTGAAGAGTGTCTTACCTGAAAGAGCTAACATTTCTCTAGCATTAAATCCTTTGGCAGCAAAGTTAGCACCCAGCCCGCTGAAGTTCAGAATTGGGAAAGGTAAGTTGCTGTCAGCCATCACGTCTGTTGACTGACCACCATCTCTGCGACCCAAAGCCACTGGCCAGGTTGGACCTCCCACCTATGAATGTTGACTCAAGCCTTGTTAGATCACGTTCATAATGAGGATCAGTCGGCTCTGGATGCAATCGTTCTTCACAATTTGCGGAATGTGATATAAGCAGATAAGCCTACAGACTGCACGTCGGGACCTACTTTGACCGTGGCGTCACGAGCTGCCATGATGAGCATATCTGCGCACAACACCACACCAGGGCACGCATGTTCCAGAGCAGCCTTGATTTCGTCCACCTCGGCAATGCCTCTGAGCCCGAAGTTGACATGAGCCTCCCTCTCGGCTTGGTTGGTTGCAGTGGAGTTCAGAAGAACTGACCCATCACAACCCTGACCAGTTATGATAAGCGTTAGTTGAATCAGATAGCTTCAAGCACATTCTTTTAGTATTTGAGACTGTCTTCTGCCGTTTGCTCATGTTCAGACTCAACCAATTACAGATCACTGCATGTTTCATAAAACTACTCTGTGTTTAGTTTCCATTTTCCAGTATCTGCTATAACATGCATTCCAGAACATATCAAGATCAGCGAAAGCGACGGTTTTCATGGTTTTCCTCTCGGAGCTGGTCATTGAGCCATACCCGAACCCCACAATCATGGAACTGCAACCGGATGAAGGTACCAGAGAAGTTCCTGTCCTTATTGAGATATCTTGTCACGAAGCTTTCTACGATCGAAGCGGCTTGAGGACAGGACTTATCGTAGAAGCTCCCCGACAACCCCCGGGCATAGGCATTATAGGTACCGTATGTACCATATGTACTCTCTGCAGCAGACAATGCTGCAGAGCACACCAAGCTGACGAGCAGCAACAAGCTAACATCGGGTGATCCCATGTTTGTCTGCTTTCAATGGACCTGCTTGCACCTACAATACAACAGATACGAGAATAAGAATCTCAAAAAAAAGAGTCCCTCAGGATTAAAAGAACGTTCAAGTATAGTAGCTCAATGTTTAGCTGAATACTGTGTTGAAAATTCTCCACGAATTGACATTGAGATCTTCATTGTCATCGTGAGATCTGGAGGAAGTCTACATCACATACAGTCAGGTACGTACCAGCAGAAACCAAACGCTCCTCGTAAGAGACAAGACAATGGCTCAAGAAATGGGCGGTTGATGATTGCCTTGAAGGAATTGCTACATTTATAGTCCTTCCATCCCGTTCTTTCTGGAGGAACTACACCATGACTAATAGCAAGTAATACCCTCAGGGAGAGAATTTTGGAGTCCAAGTCATTTCTGGGGCCGGGTAGCTTATAAGAAATAAGCTGGTCAGTACCTATTAAACTTGGCGTTTAATGCAAAGATATGATAAATGATTGCAGAGTGTCCACGGTAGCTCCGGTGCGAGCTGGAGTTTCTTCTCTGGATATATTGGAAGCCGACCACAATGATGAGAACTTGGAACCTGATGTAATGTTGATACAAGTTCAATGAAGTTTGCAGAAGTCTTCCTTTCTTGCGAAAACAATCAGAGTGAAAATTTATTTTTAATCAGCCTAAGGGCGTGGCAGTAATGAGATGGAGGTATAACCTGAATCCAGAACAAAGTAAATCAGTGCCGTGCTTCGTCTAATAACCTCTTTACATGCCAAGAAACTGAGCCTCGAAGGCAATCAATCAAGCGCATACCCTCTAAATCGATATTTACTTCCAAGTTTCCACACCTAAGATCCCAATGCTATGCACATATTGGAAACTGACGATGTGTCCAAATTAGATTCTTCATTACAGGTATTTTCATTTCGTCTTATAATATGAAGCTATGTTTTATATCATGAAAATTCGGGCTGTCGAAATCCGGGCTTGCTGAATGCGACGTATTGCAAGTGTAGCAGTGTATAGCACACAACTTTACGCAGTGAATTCTGGATTCAGAGATAAGACGATGCAGAAGGCTCCAAAATTCTCCAATCTGACCAGTATATCAACCCATTCCTGAGGAAAAGATATTCTGGCCAAGAATGTCCTAATTGGAATGTTGAGCTGTACTCATAATCGTTGTTGGCCTTACAGCATGTAGTAAGAATAAACGATGCTTTTATACTTCGTTGGAAACCATGCAGATCATATGTCATGCTCCAACTCATGACCTCGATTGAAACTCATTCTAATTGATGGATGCACACAGTGCTTCAAATCATGCCTTGAAATAAAAGAACGTTCACTTCTATGAAAGTGAACATCACTCTTGTGACATGCAGTTTACGCGCCTATTTTAGCTACGAGTTTGCCTCTATTTTCGGCTCGCGAGAGAAATTTCATTTTTCTACCATAAGAGCACGGATCTCAGATTTGCCAGCTGTCCACATGCTTGTCTTCTGGAAGCTAGTCATAATCCACGATTCTAGACATCATCCCAGAGAATCAAAGAATCGATGGTTTTTAAAACAACCGTTTATGATGACTCTGAGCTCTACCTGCATTTTGGCCTCCCGGTTATGCTTAATTTGGATCAGACCCCAGAGCCAGCACTGAATCTGTCAAACATTAAAAAAAATCAAATCTGGATATTTGAATATTATAGTACTAAGTTCTTCTCTAGTCTCGAACCTGGATCACTGCACTGCAACACAGAAGATTTTGAGTTTGTTTTAGTGAGTTCAAGAGGAAATCAACCGCAAGTATTAGAGAGGTTGGATTCAGACGAGCATTGTGGTAATATGTGCGCTTGGAGCTTGTGCAGAAAGCTCTATCCAATCAGCTCGCATCCCTCTTCTTGGGATGCAATGTTGTGGAGAGAGGCGCTGGTCGAGGGTTACAACTAACAAGAAGACGTAGCTGACTGAGAGTGCGCTACAATGATCTGTGGTGTGATCTAAGGGGTATTATTGATTCAGGTTGATTTGATTTGGGGGAAATAAGTTTTTTACACTATGGAAGGTTCTTTAAACCCTGAATCTGCGTAGAAGAAAGTTTCGTGACTTGTTCCATCAAGATCAATTGCTAGACTTCGTGTTCACGAGAAGGAAGTAGTCTACATAAAATAAATTACTTTCAACATGTATGGGTTTGCTGACTATTGAAGAGAGAAGGAAGTCTCAGATTGTACCGCATGTGATGCCGAGACGTTCTGCCAACGATTCGCGTCGAAGTGGGTCGTCGAGAAGTCGGAGTTAAGCCGGTTGATAGACTCGATGTAATTTCGGATGTGCTCTCCAAAGTGATAAACGAGGTTATTGGGAATGTTGAGCAGTATACATTAGTGAGGGGGGCCTCGCCTTCGGTAATATGAAGAAGCCTTATGATTCTGAGCCTTATGAGCCTTATAAGCCTTATTTTGATTCTGTTTTTAAGAGGAGACAACTTGTAGCCAAAGATCCCTCCGTTAGCCCGGTACCAAAGACTGCAGGATAAAAAGATGAAGTTTACGAAGAATATTTAGCAGCCAATATCTTTGTGTTTGCAGCTGACCCAGAAGATTGGAAATAGTGCAATCTCGGTCTTCATGTAACTGAACTAATTGGATGCCAATTAATTCTACGGGTAAAATCTTCAAACATTGAATTTGTGTTTGGGGCGATGGATCTAGCGGTCCAAAGCGAGAATTATCAAGCCGACAAAGTTCATATAGCAATGGCGGGTCAAGATTTTTGGCTAAGAAAGCATATAATTTGTTTAGATGAGGACTGGAAGTATCAACTGATGACTAGCTATTGTCGGAGGCCATATCACACGAATGTAGAATTTGACCAACTATAGCAACTAAACGAATAGATTGATTGGTATGGAGATCAAGACGTGCAGTTTGTGACGTCACCAAACAAGTGTAAGGGTGTACATCAAGTGCGACTAGAGGACAAAACCTCTTATGAGCAGTCAAGCTGGCTTGAAGAGTTCCTAGATTTGCTTCAGTTGACAAAGCAAAGTTTTAAGTTCTCTCCATCTGTCAGCAAAGGAAAGTACAAGGTTGCCTAAATGAAGCAAAATTAACAAAGGAAAAGCCAATTAAGATCATTCTGGTGGTCAACCAAACAACAGATGCGAAAGAACAGCAGTCCCTGGATTTCCTTGCTAATATTTGAAAACGTAGTTTATTTTGATTTGTTCAGTAGCATATGAACGATCTAAATCCTTATACCAAGAAATAGTCACAAGGAAAGGATAGGTTGTCAGGAAGAAGGAAGAAGAAGAAAAGAACGGAGAAGCCTGTGAAAATCATTCTCGTCATTAGTACTTCCCTGCACTCAAGATTTAACAGAAAAAATTGTTCGCAGCTTTGGAACTGAACAATACATAGAACTTTTATCCGTTTTCTACATATAATTTTCGCGAAAATCAACAAGGCACATTTTAAGGAGCGCCATTATAAGAACATTAAAAGCAATTCTTATTGCTCAAAAAGAGAGTAGAACGCATAGTAGCAACTGTGGAGGGCAGGAAGTAGCGGCGGAGAGGAGCGTATCGCGGCCACGGCGAGAGTTATGAATCCAGTTTGAGTCGTGAGTAAAACCTGCAAAACCTGGAGGAGCAAACAGATTTTTGGATTGACCTTGTGCGCGTGAGATTCCTGCATAATTTCATCGAATCATGTAATCACCACACTGAACTGTTCCACCACTTGCTCAAGCCACTAGGCTTCTTTAGCTACATTCTTCTACAAAGACAATGCTACATTTCTAGACCTGTTCGACTTGTAACACGCCAACATTGGAATCTTTAGAAGCATAGAAACTCTTTGTATAGGCACTCCTATAATTATAGGAAGCTCAGAATAGCTGGGTATACCCCAAAAAAAAAATCATCATATACACCTAGTGTCAATCATCAGAATAGCGACTGACAAGCATGTGGTTCTATAGAGAGAAGAGGAGGCTTACAATCTAGAATCAAGACACATAGCTCGTGATATCTTGGAGACAGCGTCCCTCTCGACTTCTGAGATGACTTGAAGCAAAGGGACAGACCACGATTTTCAAGACCCGGAAACAAAAGACAAGATGAATTTGCTGCACCTCTAGCCCGCCACCTCTGGCGTACGAGTACTGTACCGATCCGGCAGCTTTAAAGTCTGCTATCTGCTATCTGCTAATAAGGATAGCTCCCTAAACAGCCCAGCCTTGCTCCCCCAAGTATAAATTTCTTCCTCATGTTTCCACCCTGAGGCGCTACACCCACGTGTTAGGGACCTCCTTGTTTCTTTCTTTCTCTCCTCTTGCCCTTCGCTGATTCGCAGGCACAGAAATTTGGCTTTGGCTTTGGTTCCTTGCTCCAAACCTACTTGTTTATTCAACTTAATAACACCACTCTTAGTATTCTCCTCCAGACGGCTTCTCTCCCTCTATCTCTAGATTCTCTGGCAATGTTTTCCGTGTTTGAAATTCTGATAATCGACGAGAACTTAACCTTGTTCTGCCACCACCTGACGTTTACAAGTTGATGTCTTCATCTCTACCGTCTTGTCACTAATTCTTCGTGCCCCACCGTCATCTCAGGCCTGCTACCCTGCCGCTTTTCACACATGGCTGTACTTTCTTGGCTCTTTTCGGCGGTATGGATTTTGCAGCACTGAAGGCAACACTTTATCTCCTTTTGTTCACCTATGCCCCTATTGCTTCTCTCCTCTTTGCGGCGCTTGCAGGAAAGTGCGAGTCTGTTTTCTATGTGGTTTTACTGCTGGAGCTTGGCATCGGTATATCTTGCATGGGCATTCATCCCGTCTTGGTGACTCACTGGCCAAACTCTACAATCAATTTGTGTTCGTGTCTTCTATGTTGCTTTCTTTCAAGTTTTGGCATAAGTTACTACTCTCTCCTTCATCTCTGATTCCTTTGCTATTGGGTTGGTTCCCACCTCTTCTTTCCTCGTACATTACTTTCTTTCCTCTCGTTTCTTTGATGGTGGTTTGTTGTATAATCTTTGTTCAATGATTTCCACCAATTATGATATTGAAAATTATTTGAGTCCTGTCTTTGGGATGTACATCTCCAAAAGCAAAAACAAAGGAAAGAAGAACAACTTAAACTGAAGCATGGAATCAAGAAAGAACTGTTCAAAGTCCGATCGCGTCTGTCAACGATCAGTCACGATGCTTTATTTCTCTAAATCTGCTTTAATCTGAGAGAAGATCCAATTGGAGCTTCCTAATAAGTTGAGGCTATGTCTTCTAACTTCTGGCCTCGATGTCCTTAAACAATAAAATCCGACCTTGAAATTCAAGATACCCACTGGCTGATGGCAAGGATAGCGCAGCATCCACTGGATGGTGTTCAATTCACCCTGGCGATTCATACATCTGGAGCTTATTCTGATCTAAACATAAGAATCTTCTCTGACGCGAGCAGAATACGGGCCAAGAGAAGGCAGTTGGAATGAATCTTTCCTAGTTTACGAACTGGCAAGTCTTGCGGATTTCGCCTTGAGTACCCGTCAGCACCCCAATATTCCCCATCTTCACCATTGCAGCAGCAAACTCCTCGAAAAAGCTCGACCTGCGCTTGGAGAATGAGCGAACAACCTTCTTGCTGGCAGAGTTAGTGAGAAGAGCCGAGTCGGTGATAAACACTCCTCTGCCACGGAGCAAACCTTCGTAGTACACGCGGTCGAACAGATGCGCAGTAGCGTCGATAGGGATGGTGTTGGTCCTGTTCCCTAGGGGACAAACCTTCTTAAGGAGCACAGCAAACCTTTTGTCCATGGCAGGGTCTGTGTCTGTGAAATCATCCTTTCCTGTGAAGTTGTAAATATGTGGGAGGATCCCATTGCAATGAGTCTGACCAACTGTGTGTGCACCTGTTCAAAATGCAAAGCAACAATCAGTGCGAATTCTATAGCTAAAGTCGAATTTGGTATCTAGGAACTCAGCTGTCCGAGAAAGTGATAAATTTTCATGATCTTTCACATTCTCCGATCTCACCGTCTTACCTGAGAGAGTTATCATTTCTCTGGCGTTGAAGCCTTTAGCGGCAAAGTTAGCAACAAGCCCGCTGAAGTTCAAAACTGGGAATGGTAAGTTGCTGTCAGCCATCACGTCTGTTGACTGACCACCATCTCTGCGACCCAAAGCCACTGGCCAGGTTGGACCTCCCACCTATGAATGTCAACTCAAGCCTTGTTAGATCACGTTCATAACGAAGATTTATAGGCTCTGGATGCTAATTGTTCTTCACAGTTTGCGGAATGTGATATAAGCAGATAAGCCTACAGACTGCACGTGGGGACCTACTTTGACTGTGGCGTCACGAGCTGCCATGATGAGGATATCTGCGCATGACACGACACCAGGGCACGCATGTTCTACAGCAGCCTTGATTTCATCCACCTCGGCAACGCCTCTGAGCCCGAAGTTGACATGAGCCTCCCTCTCGGCTTGGTTGGTTGCAGTGGAGTTCAGAAGAACCGATCCGTCACAACCCTGACCAGTTATGATAAGCGTTAGTTGAATCAGATAGCTTTTACACACTTTTTTGGGATTTGAGGCTGTCTTCTACCGTTTGCTCATATTCAGAATCCAACAATAACAGATCACTGCATGTTTGTAAAAATACTGTGAGTTTTGGTTGCATTTTCCAGTATCTGCTGGAACATGCATTCCAGAACATATCAAGAAAGCGACGATCAGTGAAAGCGACGGTTTTCATGGTTTTCCTCTCGGGGCTGGTCATTGAGCCATACCCGAACCCAACAATCATGGAACTGCAACCGGATGAAGGCACCAGAGAAGTTCCTGTCTTGATTGAGATATCTTGTTACGAAACTATCTACGATCGAAGCGGCTTGAGGACAGGACTTATCGTAGAAGCTCTCCGACAACCCCCGGGCATAGGCACCATAGGTACCGTAAGTACCATATGTACTCTCTGCAGCAGACAATGCTGCAGAGCACACCAAGCTGACGAGCAGCAACAAGCTAACATCGGGTGATCCCATGTTTTTCTGCTTTCAATGGACCTGCTTGCACCTACAATACAACAGATACAAGAATTAGAATCTCAAAAAAAAAAACATTCCTCAGGATTAAACGAACGTTTATGTGTAGTAGCTCAATGCTTAGCTGAATACTGTGCTGAAAATTATGCACGGACTGACATCGAGATATTGACATCGTCATCGTGAGATCTGGAGGAAGTCTACGTCACATACAGTCAGGTACGTACCAGCTGAAACCAAAGGCTCCACGTAAGAGACAAGACAGTGGCCCAAGGAATGAGCCTTTGATGATTGCCTTGAGGGAAGTGCTACATTTATAGTCCTTCCATCCGTTCTGGAGCAATCACACCATGACTGATTGCATGTAATACCCCAGAGAGAAGTCTGGAGTCGAAGTTATCTAGTGGGACCTGGTAGCATATAAAAATCAGCGTGTTCATTTTGGAACTGTTCACTGCATATTTGACGTGATCTTGGATTTCAAATTGATGAAAATCTTGTCCACAGTGCATGGTGGCAACAGTATGAGCAGATGTTCTAATGTTTGAATACTTCCGTGTAATGCTTATGTAGACAGATTGGGCGGCGACTTTAATATTAAAAACTGCGAATCTGCCGGACTGTTGATGTAAGTTGAATGAAGGTGGCCGAAATCTTCTTTTCTGTCGAAGAGAATTTCGGCATTTGTTTGAAAGACGCCTATGGGCGTGACAGTAATACTTTACCGATTACAACTTGACAGTCTGATGGCATTAAAGCAACTGTACAGCAATGTTTATTTGCGAAATCATGAATTGAATCAACCAATCATCCTCTATTAACGATGTAATGTCTTCACACAGCGAATGTTGGTACTTTTCTTCTATGAACGTGTGATTTTTTCACAACGCAATCCACATCAGATGCTCCATTCTTCCTCACTATGATCTTTTGCAGTGAAAGTCCACACTTACGCCCTTAAATTTATTACTATCTGTCTTGACAGTGGTGTCTTCACATTTATTATCCAAAAAGTCAGCGCTTCGTGAAGTTTGAATGACCCTTTTGATAGTTGAATGATACTTGGCTGAACGCTCGCTTATTATTTGCAAGATGGCAGGTATGAACTGAATCCGGGGCAGAGTAAATCAGAGCCTTACTTCGTCAAATAAACTCTTTACATTCTAAATAGGTGAACTATTAAGCTAATCTATCGACTGCATACCCTTTAAAACTTTAAATGCTTCACAGTTCCCACACCTCAGAAGGCATTGCATGAAGTTTTCCAGAGGACTCTTCTCATTTCAATCACTAGGACACAAGATGAATTTCCCTTTGAGACTTTACTCTTGAGAGCGAGTTTAATGAACTTTTCCAAGTAAGAAACGCATATATGGAGCCTGACAATGTGTCTACGACATATTCCCGAGAAATTTATCGTCATTTCCTCTTCAATGTGAAGGTATCACTTTGAACTTGTAGTTAATCACTGTTTTACAGCTCGTCAAAAAAATTCTAAACGTGTCGACAGAAGATGTCAACTCTCATATTCTATCATAAACTATTGTATACTTGCTGAGAGTTATGTGAAGCACTACAGTCCCAACCAATAGGGGTTGGGACTGTAGTGACAGCAGAAGCACCGCATATACTCAGATCCATTGCAGGCCATCGAAACCATGGTGCCCCAGTGATGGAAGACTTCATACTATCAATTTATAAAACCAGAAGCATTTTACACAGGATCAACTGCCCTGGTACTGCAATTTATGGTCATAATTAAACATTTCTCGGCCTGTCGAACTCCAGGCTTGCTGATTGTGCGCTTACTGCTGTTAGCACCGACGTTCAATTGTTGACAAAACGGGAACTGCAAGCATGAAGAACCAATGCTATCGACTGAACATACCAGAAATATTCATAAGGTCAGTCAGCTCACAAGACTTGGTCGTAAATGTGTTAGGATGTCTGACTTGAAGTGTACTAAAACCTGGAAGAGGCAACTTTCAAATCCATCTTGTTTTGCTCTAGTAACATGTATGGTAGTAACTTGTCTAGAAGAATGTTTCTTGATATAAAAGATAAGACCATACATGAATATTTAATAAGGAGGTTTTGTGCAGAATTCAAGTATCGAGGTTTAAGTAATGACGGCTTCCCGCTGCAGGCATAGCAACCCAATCGATAATCATCTTGATCTGATGTGCATTATATATAGGTAGCACACATCTGGAATCATTGCAAGAACATGCTTGCATGTAGCTTTGACGTAATATTTTCCATTTTGATCCGGTCAAACTTGTTGAATTCCGAGTGACTCAGAACACAATGTTTTTATTTGTAGACATGATCAATGATCAATTCATATCACCTGTGTAAAAAAAAAAAATTTGAAGAAAATGGCAACGATACGATCATTCATATTGTATCTTCTGAGAGCAATTTATATACAAATTTTATATATCCAAATAAAATACAATGCATCAACTTCTTTGTGACTGAACAGAAGCAAAAAGTTGAAGTTGTTTTACCAGCAAATAGACGCATTCGCCTGAGAGAATGTATTTCGTGGGAATGCGGATACCAAATTAATATGGTATATCTTCCGGGTCTAACTTGAGGATATCAACCTTCACTTTGTGAAATTATTAGGATGTCATATTTGTTAACTTGCGTCCAAAGAAGAAATGTTTTGGAATGATTGACATAGAGTGAAGCAGAGAAGTGTAAGTAAAAAATAAAGAAACAGCAAGTTTCAATTTTTTCTTCAAGATTTTGTCAATAGATCTTTCTGGTCATTAAAGTGTGGTTTCTTTCGATCTCTGCAGACAATGAGCTGAACTATGCTCTACTGTTACTACACCTTATTGTCTTCTCAGTATTAACAGGACAATTTGTCAGACGACTCTGTGAGGTCTTTGTTTTGGCCTGCTTCCGACTACAGTATATTTCAAAGCTTGCAGTATGAAAAGGAGGAAACATCTGGGCAGATTAAGAAAAGGATAAAAGCTCATCATACTAAACTATCAGATAACCTCATTGCACTCCATCAGTGTCCAAATCAGAGTCTCTACGTCATGATAATAGAATCGTCAGCCACAACATCAAAGTAGAAGTCTCTCTGACTTCTGAAATTGAACATCAAACCAAAATCATATGCACATAGTTGATATGTAAATCTACGGTCCGGTACTTCTGATGAAATCTAAACGATAAAGAAATGACTAAAGAGTTCCGAATCTGAAAGAAACTCCAACTGGAACATCCTCATTGCTTGTAATGGACAATCATCAGAGCATCTTGGCTCTGAACTCTAGCTTCAATGTCCTACAGTAAGGGAACTCCACCTCCATTCTAAACTCCATTCTAAACTGCAATTGCGGTGGGAACAAGCAGACAAATATTTTCCACCTATGCTATCCTAACGCTGGAGGAATCTACCACTGACACTTCATTCCTTGCAAATTTGATACTCACTGCACGTAAGACAATCTCTTGTTGGAAACTGCAGTTTATTTCTCAGGTATGGACAATTTATTATGAGAGATTAAATGATTGAATTGCACGTTTCTTTTTTTTTAAATTTTTGATAAAGACTCATTCCTCATTTCTTGAAGTTGCTGACATCAGGCCCACCATAACAAGCACATTATGGATGCAGTTAAAAGTAGAAGGGTAAATTCATGTATTTAAATATCTATTCAGTAAAGTTAAATCTTCTAGTTTTATTAAGTTCAAATTAAAAGTCGTTGAAATCAAGAGCATAATTTGAAAATTATTGTGCATTCCCGACGAATTTCAATGTGCTAAGCAGTATACTAAATTAATTATAAATTGATAAATTGATATCTTTTGTCTTATTGATTTCTTATGTTCTCATCTCATCCGCCTCGTTTTCTTGAAGTGGATGGATGTTTGTAAAGTCGACTCAACACAAAATCGACTTCTTCCCAACTGTACATCGAAGCTCACATGGGAAGTAATATTGATGTTAAAATCTACCCATCCCTTCCGTAGGTTGTGTCTCATGCGGGATCTATGTGGTTGTGTTTTTGTTTTGTGTAACTTGACTAGTCGGTGCTTGTCAACGGGCTTGCTTGACGTTCATCCACGTGCATCTTGTATTGTTATATCATGGCAAAGATGCACACAAAATTTAACCATATAGGTATTTACATGTAATAACACAGTTTTTAATATTATATAATAAAGTATCAATCTCCTACACATATGTGTTAAAATAAAACAGAATTACAACAATTAATCAGTTGAGAAGCAAAACTAAAATAATATTATCGAGAGCTTAAAGGATTTTAAGCTCATTCATTAAAGGATCTTGCATTGCTTGTTAACTTGTGTATAAAATGCAGATCCATGACGAAAAGAATATTAGAGGAGAAAACATACTCAAAAATAGAACAAGAAGGAATACTTGGAAAAAAAATATACAGCGAACAATTAGTACCAGACATGAAGCTCTGGAAAGATAAAACATAGAACAGAGGCTGGAACCACAAATCAAACATGCATCAACTATCTCTAAATTCTTGATTTGAAGTACAAAAAATGAACTGGATTTGATTCATACTGATTTTAAACATAATTTCTTCAAACATATTATTCCTCGGTCAAAAGATCCAATTAAACTTAAAAATATAGAATCAAAATATGTCTTACTTACTTTCGAGGTGGTGCATGTCAGTGGTCGTGCCGGAGTGGTTGTCGGGCATGACTAGAAATCATGTGGGCTTTGCCCGCGCAGGTTCGAATCCTGCCGACCGCGTATTTTGCCATTACGAATATTGACGGAACTTGGGTGCAAGATAATTTCCTGATTCTGGCTAATAAAATCTGAAGTGTTTTGCTGGGGGTTGGGTTACACAGCCTGTCCAAACAAGCTCAAGTGCCAGAAACCATCCTTACGTGGATACGATAAAATGCATTTGTAAATTTCTACTCTACATCGTGGACCGTCTTTGGCAATTCTAAGACAGCAAAATCACTCAGGATCTCCCAAGCACTTCATATGGCCGTGTTGTTCAAAGATGTCGGACTAATCTTCTGGTCTGGAAGGGAGTGGATTTGATTCCCATTTTGAGTTCTTTGGAAAGCCATTTCAGAATGGCCAAGCGGTCCAAGCCGCCCATATCGGAACTCCAATGAAAAAATTCCTACTAATGCGACTTGAGGTGAGTCGTTTGCTCGAAGGGTTGATCCACAAATAATTTCTTGTACATTGTTCCTCCCTAGGTAGGTCCCATCTCGGTGGAATTATGCTCCCTTGACCGTTCTCAATTCTGAAAACGCTTAAGGGAAGCTTAATCTCACCGAGATGGGTTGGCTGTGGATGCCGTCCCTATTGTTCTTTCATATATATGTGGTCCATGTTTTTCCTTTCATGGGGTTACCGCTAAGTAGATTTGGCAGTCAGGTGATCAGTATTGAAAATAATTATAATTTTTATTTTCTCAAT